AAAATTTTGCCATTCAGATTTCAATTCTTCACAAGGGATGGTTACTCATCCCTTCCAACGTTCATCAGATATGGGCTCTATTCGTTGCCCAGAATATTGCTCAATAAACTGTACTAAAATGTGTCATAGAAATAATCTAAAACACCGAAAAGAAGTCCCATACATAGAGAGAAGTTGAGAAAATGCCTGAGCTAGTGAGTACCACTTCTGATTTTTGTGTCACACGTTTTAGGAAAAACAAATCAAAAGAGCTGATATCTGGTGAATGCCACATGTGGAAATTATTGTGGACAACATTGGACTGTTTTACTGTTTATGCAACATATCTAACACTTTAAAGGGCAAAATATATTCGGTTTTAATAACAAATGTGAGCCATTTGGGTATGTCTCTACATGCATATCTGAATCCCAAAATCTTTAACTAGTAATCATGGATAAATTATTTTAAAAAGTTCTGTTAGGTTGGTGAACATTACTTTCAGCTCTTTCCACAGATCCTCACATGGACTGGGGTCTGTGCATTGACTGGGATAAGATATTAAGGTTTTTTGTTCTTAACCTTGGCTGTATTAGGGTCATTATCATGCTAGAGGGTGAACCTCAATTCCAGTTGCAGGTGTCTTGCAGGCTGAAACATGATTGTCTGTAAAAATGCTGTGTACTTCATCTATCTTGCAACCAGTCCTGATCACTTTCCCAGTTAATAATTATGAAAATCACCCTGACAAAATGAATGCATCAACACAATGCATCTTTATGGCGATTGCGATCTTAGGAACATGAGTAGTATTGTATATGCCCCACATATCTGCTGAAAGTTCAGTTACCTATGTTCAATACATGCTTTTGGCAAACTCTCTGCAGGATTTCACATTAGATTTTAGCAGCAAGTGATTCAACTCTCCACACCCTGAAACCCCAGCTTTGTGTTGTTTCTCCTGGTTATGTTTGAGTCCTACCTTAGCTGCAGATATCTTTAGAGCTGCTTGGTCATTGTCTGTTCTTTGAATGTGTTTTAGTGACCTATTATTCACTGCACTACCAAATATCGTTGTCGAATAAAACACATACAAAATAAAATATACATACAACTTATAATTTATATATGAGTCAAGTAAAATATGTACAGAAGTAAAAATAAATTAGTTATAGCCTGGTACTAAACAAAAAATGGTAAGCAGAGCAAGTATTCAGTCAGGTGGGAACATGGTTAAAGTATGTATTCTTTTTTGACATCATCTTCCCACAAGAACCATTCATGCTGTAGTATGGATGTGAATGTAGATGGTTCACGAAAAACTAATTCACACCTTTGACTTTCAAATGCTGCAGATAAAACTTCATCCACAGTTTGAATAGTGGGTGATTTCCAGTGTTGGGAGATGGTGGAATTTGCTGAGATCAAAAGATGGCCTAGCATAATTTTTTTTTATACTTAGGTATGTTAGATGGAATCTGCTATAAATCCAAAGTGTATCAATAATAATATGTGCAGATGCACCTCCATTGATATTCCCAACTTTCTTTTTGATCCAAGTATGTTTACATGCTGTTAAAGAGATACTGTAGTGCCAGGAATAAAAAGTATTCCTGGCACTACCGATCCCTCTTCCTCCCCCTCCCTCGCACCTCCCCTGTAAATAAAGGGTTAAACCCCCTGTTTTTTACTTACATTATCCCAGTGCCGGGTCGAAGCTCTGCCACCTCTTCCGTCCCGCGACGAGTAGGGTATAATGCGCATGCGCAACAAATGCTGCGCTTGCATTAGACCTCCCCATAGAAAAATCAAATCGATGCTTTCCTATGGTGAAAAATCTAACGCTGGAGGTCCTCATGCAGAGCGTGAGGACGTCCAGTAACTGTTATGTTTTACATTGCAGCACTAGGTGCAAAAGGGACACAGCACCCAGACAACTTCAATGAGCTGAAGTGGTCTGGGTGCCTACAGCGTCCCTTTAACTATATGTCATTATAACTTTTAAATCAAAACATGTTGAAAACATTTTTAAGAAATTCTTTAAGAACTATTTTGTGAATATATGACTTGGAGCAATCTTTCACTGTGCTAGTACCTTGCCCAATTGAATGATTAGTTTTCCTGTTCACTATCGTGGCATTGCGATCAAGAAGGTATCATTGTGTTAAAGAGCTCTTTATTTGAGTCTCTTTAATATATTTATTACCATCAGGTCTAAAACAAAAGAATCCTATTTTCTCCCTGACTTATTTCCAACATAATGATTCTGTTTCAATTATAATATGAGAACAAATTAAAAAAGGGCCATAATTATATTATTGTTAAGCTCAAACCACAAAAACAAAGCTAGAGTGGTTTGAATAAGAACAGAAAATACATCCTTCTTTTTATTTTTCGGTTTTTGTTCTTTATTATTAGAGGAGCACCATCAAAGTCATCCAGATATAGTAACAACATGTTTAATACACCCTCTGGCAAGGGATTGCCTGCTGCAGATTATAGCTTTGCTTTTTCTTACAGATCATATTGCTATAGCACTGTGGGCAGCATCAAATCCTAACATGTACTTGATTTGTATACTGAAATGGAACTACAGTATTTTTTTTAAATAAAAGCTTTGCTTACAAATCTAGGTTCAAATTAGGTATGGCAGTTCACAATGCACTTTTCTTTCATTTGTATTAGCCATACATGCATGCTTAAAGAGTTAATCCAGCCCTTATAAATACTATTTGCGATTTATTTACAATTACCTATAGGGCAGTACTATTAGGTATGTCACCATAGAACCTGGGAAAGGTTTTAAAACTTACCTGACATCCAGCAGTGGGTGAAGCTCCCGGTGCTGTCTTCCTCGTCCAGTCCTGGTGTCATCTTGCACTTGCACGTTACACTCAGAGGTTACTCATAGAGAAGCCTATGATTGGACCTTTGCACCTGCTTAGAGCACATAACCACAATCTGAGCCAGCGTGGGGAGGGCAAGGGGGATGTAGACGGATGGTAGGAGGGATATTTTAATTTTATATATATATATATATATACATAGGCGTGCGCAGCCTATTGCATTAGGGTGTGCACCCTAAAGCACAAGCACACGCCGCGTATATATATATGTGTGTGTGTGTGTGTGTATATATATATATATATATATATGTGTGTGTGTGTATATATATATATATATATATATACACACATACACATACACACACTGCTGTGTGTGTGTGCTGTGTGAGGGTGCTGTTAGTGTGATGTGTGTGTGTGTGACGGTGCTGGTAGTGTGCTATGTGGGTGAGGGTGTTTGTGTGTGCGTGTTTGTGAGGATGCTGTTAATGTACTGTGTGTGAGGGTGCTGTTTGTGTGTGTGTGTGTGTGTGCGCTTGTGAAGGTGCTGTTAATGAACTGTGTGTGAGGGTGCTGTTTGTGTGTGAGGGTACTGGTAGTATGCTGTGTGTGTGTTTGTGAGGGTACTGTTAGTGTGCTGTGTGTGTGTGTGAGGGTGCTGTTTGTGTGTTTGTGAGGGTGCTGTATGTGTGTGTTGGTGCTGTATGTGTGTGTTGGTGCTGTATGTGTGTGTGGGTGCTGTGTGTCTGTGGGTGCTGTATGTCTGTGGGTGCTGAATGTGTGTGGGTGCTGAATGTGTGTGGGTGCTGTATGTCTGTGGGTGCTGTGTATGTCTGTGGGTGCTGTGTATGTCTGTGGGTGCTGTATGTATGGTGCTGTGGGTGCTGTATGTGTGTGGGTGCTGTATGTGTGTGGGTGCTGCTGTATGTCTGTGGGTGCTGTATGTCTGTGGGTGCTGTGTATGTCTGTGGGTGCTGTGTATGTCTGTGGGTGCTGTGTATGTCTGTGGGTGCTGTATGTATGTGGATGCTGTATGTGTGTGGGTGCTGTATGTCTGTGGGTGCTGTATGTGTGTGGGTGCTGTATGTGTGTGGGTGCTGTGTATGTCTGTGGGTGCTGTATGTGTGGGTGTGTATGTCTGTGGGTGTGTGTATGTCCGTGGGTGCTGTGGGTGCTGTGTATGTCTGTGGGTGCTGTGTAGTGTATGTCTGTGGGTGCTGTGCTGTATGTCTGTGGGTGCTGTATGTCTGTGGGTGCTGTGTATGTGTGTGGGTGCTGTATGTGTGTGTGTGGGTGCTGTGGCTTGTGTATGTGTGTGTGCTGTATGTCTGTGGGTACCGTGTATGTCTGTGGGTGCTGTGTATGTCTGTGGGTGCTATATGTGTGTGGGTGCTGTGTATGTCTGTGGGTGCTGTGTATGTCTGTGGGTGCTGTATGTATGTGGATGCTGTATGTGTGTGGGTGCTGTATGTCTGTGGGTGCTGTGTATGTCTGTGGGTGCAGTGTATGTCTGTGGGTGCTGTGTATGTCTGTGTGTGATTGTGGGGGTGGAGGTTAGGGAACATTAATTGCTATCCCCCCTCCCTTCTTACCTTTTGTAGGGAGGGGGGGGTCGTGCTGCTGATTCCATGGAGAGTGAACTCTAGAGTTCACTCTCGCGAGATTTGAACGCTGCCGTGGCAACGCTCATATCTCGCGAGAGGAACCCGGCGGAGCTGCCGGCAATAGCTCCGCCGGGTCCTCTCCTGCCTCCCTCCCTGCATGCGGGTCAGTGGGGAGGGAGGCTGAGAGCAGAGCCGGCGCTCGGATAGCGCCGGCTCTGCCTGAGCCGACAGGGGAGATCCTGAGATCTCCCCTGCCGGTCTCAATATGCATAGGCGTGCCGCGGGATTAGGGTGTGCCCAGGCACACCCGGCACACCCCGTGCGCACGCCTATGTATATATATATATATATTCATGTTACAGAGAGAGGCAGGAGGGAGAGAGGAGAAAGTTATCTTCCCCTTGCAAGTGCTCTGGGAAAAGATTGTTATGTCTGTTGTCAGCACACTGAAGACAGTACACTAATAGTGATGTCCCGAACGGTTCGCCGAATGGTTCGCGAACGGTTTGCCACGAACGGTTCGCCACGGACTCATCATTGAGTAAACTTTGACCCTGTACCTCACAGTCAGCAGACACATTCCAGCCAATCAGCAGCAGACCCTCCTTTCCAGGCCCTCCCACCTCCTGGACAGCATCCATTTTACATTCATTGTGAAGCTGCATTCTTAGTGAGCTGTCCAGGAGGTGGGAGGGTCTGGGAGGGAGGGTCTGCTGCTGATTTGCTGGAATGTGTCTGCTGACTGTGAGATACAGGGTCAAAGTTTACTCAATGATGAGTCCGCGGCGAACCGTTCGCCACAGACCATTCGCGAACCATTTGGGACATCACTATACACTAATGACAAACATAAGATATGCACTGAATTGACACTAGGCAGTCCAAAGTTCTGGGCTGCCTCAATCACATTTGCTAAGGTTGCAACTAGTCTTTGGCACACAAACAAAAATAACTTCAAGCTGAAACACTGCACATACAGACTCCTACCACTGAAGTGGTCATGGTGGTTGGTGTAACCCGTTAAGACATTATAAAATACATTTACAAAATCCTTAAGTTCTCTGTAAAATTACTAGTACAATTAGAATTCAAAATATTACATATGGAAGAAATAGGGACGTTCATTGTGAACAAATACTCATAACTCACCTCACAGATGAATAATCATAACCACGTAATTTTATAAGGATGTGTACAGGAAAAAGTTTAGGTTAAAATTGCTGAGCTCTGACTACAGTTGACTTGAATACATTTTCCAAATGATATATTTTTGTCAAAATTTGCTATTTGCCTTGAAAACTGGACATTAAAAATGAAAGAGCACACACCTATTGCTGAGTAAGTGCTGAATTTCAGATTCACAGGTCGGTAGATACAGTCAGATCAGTGATCCCAGGTTTTGTTGCTGTTAAAAAAAATGAATATTTTGGAGTGATAAGGACTAATGATAAGTATATGTTAGAATAAAATATTTTTTTGTCTGTCAGTATCTTTCCTAGCCTTATTGATAACTTCTGCTAAAGAAGCTGAGCAGCTAATCAACTAAGGTTTCTGGGGTATTTGTATATCTCTTCTCTTACAAATTCATTACAAATTCATTGTTTGTGTCACATATATGTATCTATAAGTTCGTCATGTTGAACTGAATGCTACCAGAGTTGAGCGAACCCGGACTGTAAAGTTCGGGTTCATACCGAACATTAAGTTTTTTGGACCCCGGACCCGAACACAGACATATCACTGTATGTTCAGGTTGGAGTTCGGTGTTCGGCGATTTAATGATGCGCTTTGAAATGCTGCAGGGCAGCCAATCAACAAGCGTTTGACTCGTGTGCCCTTAAAAGCCTTCTATGGCTGTGATTGGCCAGTGCAGCATGTGACCCAGCCTCTATATAAGCTGGTTACTTAGTATTATTAAATTATGCCCCTACTCGCTATACCGCGAGTAGGGACATGTGTATTAAACAGCCTGTGGCTGCTCCCTGTTAAAAAAACAAACATCCCCCCTCCTGAGCCCCGACCCGCGACACACGAGTGGGGGCTTTTAAACTAAAGGGGGGACCTATTGCCCCCCCGGCCCTACCCCTGAGCGGTGGGTGGAGGCCCTAAATAACAATAAGGGGGGGAACTAATATCCTCCCCCGGCCCCCACCTCTGAGCGGTGGGTGGGGGCCATAAATAAAAATTGTGGGGGGGGAACCTAATGTCCTCCCCCCCGGCCCTCACTCCTGAGCGAAGGGTGGGGGCCCTAACTAAAAATGTACTGCCCCCAGGTGACTAGGGGTACCCAAACCCCTAGTCAACCCCCTCCCCCCAAAACAAATTACCCCTACCTACCCCTCTCATCCTAAAAATAATGAGGGGGGACCCTTATCTAAATACCTGTAAAAAAAATGTATAGACTTACCATTTGATGTCTTCTTTCTTCTAAACTCTTCTTTTTTCAGCCCCAAAAAAGGCCACATAAAAATCCATAATAACCGATGCACTTTAAAAAAAAAAAAAAAAAAATTTCACCCATGGAGGGCTCCGCGCAGACTGAGCGCTGCAGGATGGGGGAAGGCTTATAAAGAAGTGCTCTGACAGGTAAATGAAGAGACTGACAGGTAATTCTCTACATTTACCTGTCACAGCACTCTGATTGGTTGGCTTGAAATTCTCTGTCATTTTACACAGCGTGGGAAAGTTCTTTGGTAGGTGTCCCCCCCCCCCTCCACATTCTTATTTAGGTCTTTCAGCCTTTTGGTAGATAGCTCCCTAATACCGTGGGAATTAGGGAGTTATCTACTAAGCGGCTGCTTATTTTATGTATTTTATGTTATTTTAAGTGATTTCCCTATCCACATTTGTTTGCAGGGCACTTGTCCTATTCTTACCCCCATTTTACTTCATTTTGCAGCCCTCTATCCCTTTCCAGGACTTTTTTCGAGCCATTTTTGTGCTCAAAAGTTCTGGTCCCCATTGACTTCAATGGGGTTCAGGTTCGGGTCAATTTATGGGTCAAGTTCGATCCCGAACCCTGTTTTTCAAAGTTCGGCTGAACACGCCGGACCTGAACATCCGCTCAACTCTAAATGCTACGTCTCATTAGACCAGGAGTTGTGTACATGGGATTAAATGGGCAGAGCTAAACAGGTCAATGGGTAGAGTCACATTATTGAGTAGATGCTAGAGTCCCTCCATCTTTAAACCTTCAAAGAAATTATTTGCTTTTGAAACACAGACAAATGTAAGTCTTCCAAAATGATCAGAAGTGCAAGTGTAAGCTGTAAGTTGCTTACCATCACAGCAGGAAATATACAAAAATCAGAGGTAATTTTTTTTTAATATTCACTGCCCTTCCTTCTGCTCAGATATTAGTAGGCTTGATTTTACAGATCTGTGACAGCTCAGTGGCTAACAAGAACAAGTAAATTACCACTCAAAAGCGAGACAGGGACCATGAATCATTGAGTAATTCAATCATTCATGATGCAAAGTGTATGGGACCCTTTTAACATTTTTAAAAGTATTTGCTAGTGAGAGTTTGACACTTTTTTAAATCTCAAAACAACAGTAAAAATGCTAAAATCTGCCAAAGAGATCTTTGTTACTGAGCGCCAAAAGGGCAGAGCTTTCTACGTAGTATGAATTCATGCAAATATTAACTAGATTATTGGCCTAAAAGATGCCATTATACAAAAAGGTTCATTGTAGAGATAGTCTACAGAAATATGAGATTGGAGATTTGAAAAAGTGGTAATGCTTATTTTCAGGTTTCTTGTGACATTATTGGAATTGGAAATTGGTGGAAACACAATCACTCAGAGCTGCTGTGCCTGTGGCAATGTTTTTTTTTATTTATTTTTTTCAATATTTACATGCAGTTGATATGAAAATGTCACCACTATATTTCTGAATATAGATACATATATTGTTTTACGTCTCACTGTCTCACTTCATCGTACTTGCCTATTAATCACTTGTATATCTTACTTTTTTGCAGGCAATCATTCACACTGCTAATGCTTAGTACAAATGGAATAATTGCTGGAAGCTGTTATCTTAAATCCGGTCTCCCTTCTTTTCCCGGAGACAGGAGTCATCCTTTCTAAGAGTGGCTATTCTCTCCCACTTAGCATGGAATGTATATACAGTTACATCCAGCTCTGTATCCTTCAGGATGAAAGCATTTGTGAACATTCTTTCGAAATAGTTTAATGCTATTCTTGCAAAAGCTTAATTTAACTCATTGATATCTTGGTTATTTTATCAGTGTTTTTTTTTATGTGTCAGTGATCAAGACATTGAAAAGTACATCAATACGAATAGAAACAATCTTTGTAGAGATAGAGAAAACGAACATCTGGTCCCTCTTTTTTCTCCAAATCGAGTTAAAACTCTTAGCGTCTACAAAAGTATGTATTTTTTGCATTTATTCAAGGTATCTCTGTAACTATATGTAAATATTGTGTAGTAAATTAGTACAACAGGAGATTTTTTTATACTGGTTCTTAAAGGGATACTATAGGCACCCAGATCACTTCATCTCATTGAAGTGGTCTGGGTGCACTGTTGCTGTCTCCTTAACCCTGCCATCTAAAACATTGTAGTTTGAGAGAAACTTTGAGAGCCACTAGAGGTGCTTCCTGCTGTTTAACAAAGTTTAACTCCATGAAATGACGCCAGATGTCCTCACATGGAATCATTACTTTCCTATGGGGAAGGCCTAATGTGTCTCTGGTGCTTCTATAATATGATTTGCCAGTTGGAAGCATTGGGAAGCCCGGTGAAAAAACGTTAATGACTCAATTTTGGGTCCTGACCTAAGGATTAGGAACATTTTCTCTTTTATAATGCTTTATGAATAAGACATATTAATTAAATACCAAAAAAAGAAACATAGGAATTCTGCAGTAAGCAGAAACCATGCTCATATTTGAACTATTAAAAAAGACTAATTTAAAAAGACATACGTTTTAGTTAAAATATACAAACAGATTTTAAAAGAGCTATAAAATAAATAATGGATAACTAAATAAATAATTACAAATCTACACAGTTTTAGAAGATAAATGTTGAAGGAGATATATAATATTTAGTGAAACAAAATCATACTGGATATATTAAAAAATTTCCTTTTTGATCTTCCTTTTTAAACGACATAGTTATCTATAACGGAAATGGAGATATACATTCTAAATAATAAATTGCTAAAATAAATGACTATAAATGGAATATTATAAACTAGCTAACTCTTCGAAAGTGTTCTGCGTCCAACATTCCATGAAGTCTTTTAAAATGTTTAGTAAAACTAGAATTGAAATTCTCTTACTCTGGGTAACAGTCATCTTTCTTAAAAAGGTTACAACGTCTTATCATAATCATTTTCTATTCTGGACAACCAGCTGCAAATACTTAACATAGATTAACCAAACAACGGTTGATTTAAATACCATTCAACAATTCTTGCTAAACACATAATTGTACAGGATGAAGCTAGAGGTAATGTCATCCATACACTTAGAGATAATAACAAGCAATTTCAAAAGTCACAAAAGACAACCCTTGTTAATTGGTGCTAACTGTTCTATGGTCTCAGCAAATTGTATATATTGTGTGCATTTTGTAACAGCTGAACAATAGGATTTATTATGTGGGAAATAGAAACTGTAGATAAAAATACTACTTGATGAGCACCTAAAAGATGACATAAGAATACACTTTTTAAAAAATCAAACGCACATTATATTT